ACCATGGGTGCACCCCCCAGACCGTGAGGGCACCTCAGCCACTGTTTGCTCCCCGCTGCATCTGCACAGACTGACTCCGCACCGGGAGCGGACTACGAAGGCTGCGCTGGCGGAGCTGCTGGATGGCTCCTGCGGCACAGACCCGCAACGTCAGTCGTGCCGTAGGCTCAGGCGGGCTGCGGCCAGCTGATGGCACAGCGAGCCCCGGGCTTCTGGGGCTTTCCTGCTGCCCTTCCCGTGCCCATGGGTGGGGGTCATCAGCCCAGGACCTGGCAGCAGCAGAGGGAACACCTTGCGCTCCCCCGCAGCTCATGGGGACGCAGCACCTCCACGCCACAGGGCTGGGAATGGTGCCACTGGGAGCAGGGTGCTCACCCATGGGTGCTCAGGGTCTGCTGGCAAGGCAGCTGTTACAGGAACAGGCAGACACTGAGATTTGGAGGCAAAGCACCAGCTTGTGGAAGCCCCTCCAGCCCTGAGGTGTTCAGTGCTCATGGGGTACACGTGTGCATACATATATAATGTGTATCTAAATACACATATACATATGGGTGTGCCTGTAAACAAGAAGTATTTTGTTAAAGCTGAAGGTGTGTTTAGCTGGTGAATTTGGATGTCTCACGGGCTGGAGAGGTGGGATGGGGGATCAGCTCTCCCAGCAGACACATCCCGGCGTTCCCGGGCTGCCAGTCGGCTCTCCGGCAGACACATCCCAGTGCTCCCGCCTCGGCGCCACGATCGTCAGCAAGGGCTCACCCTGCTGACTTCAGAGCTGCACAGGCTGCAGAGCCTGGCAATTAACTCAGTGAACACCCTCTCTGGCCTGAGACAGTTTAAAATAGATCACCCTGTGCGTGTGCACGTGCTGCATCTCCCCAAACACCAGTTCTCGCAGCATTTACCCCACGGGCAGCCGTAAGCACCAGCAGCATTCTCTGCCGTGGCACACCTAAGCAATGCCATCTGCCCTGACCTGGTCTCGCAGTGCCCTTGCGGGATGGTGTCCAGCGGAGTCGCTGTAACGCCCGTTGCCTTGCTGTGGTCTGGACGGGACTTTGCCACGCGTGGTGGCAGAGCACGCTTCCCAGCCCTTCCCGGCCCTTCCCGGCCCTCTGACCAGAGCCCTCCCAGTGCTGAGACACGGGGAACATCAGGAGAGAGAGCACCTTCCGTCCGACCAAACCACGCATCAGCAGAACCCCACGCCACAACCCACCCACGGCAGTGTGCTGCCAATGGGGCGCGGTACAGAGCTCAGCTCAGCACACACCCCCACATCGCCCCCCAGTTCCTTCCAGCTGGAGAGCGGGCACGCTTGGCCCAGCGGTTATCCCGACCGGAACGGGGAACCCAGAGCCCACGGAGGCCGCTGCAGAGGCCCCTCTCTGGGAGCCCACCCCGTGCGGTGGGAACAGGGGGTGCTGGTCCCCCAGCGCGGAGTCCCGACCGGCGCTGACGGGCAGTGCAGCCGCGGCTCGCCAACTGGGCAAAGGGTCTGAACGGCACCCATGTGAGGACACCCTGTGTGCCATCCTCTGCGTTCAGGACAGACAAACCTCTGTAGGACAGAGGTTTCTTTTCTTCTATTTCTTTATTACCCACATCCAGACCAAAACTGTCATGCCATTTTTAGCAAGAAGAGCAAAAAAACCGCCCAAGTCACCTGTCGTGCTTTTTCATGCTGCAGTTCCACAGCGCCCTTTGGGTTCTGCAGCTGAGACTGCAGCACCTCCAGGACACGCTGGCGGAAGGCAAGCGGAGGCAACACTGGGGAGTAGCAATGCCTGATCCCAAGGGAGTTTACATCTGCGTTAGTCAGAGAAACTCCCGGTGTTCAAACATTATGCTTATGCTTCAGCGCTCCGATGGCCGATGAATTCCTGAAGCAGAGCTTGCACTTCTCCCCGCCGACTCATCTTGGTTGCCTTGCCCTGAAAGCGGCCTCGCTTCCCAGCTCCTTTGCCTCCCAGCAGCTCTGCCACCCTACGGGAACAACAATACATGCTGAAGGCCACTCGCTGAGAAGAGAGTGGCCTGGCCTAACTTGCTCTGGAGAGCAAACCAGGATCCATGCCCTAATTATACTGCTCAGCTGCTTAGTCTGCAACATTGGAATTCTCACTATTTTTACAGAAACCATAGAACATGTTACCTGGGACCTAAATGCTCAACTGCTTCAGCAGGTCCAGCTAGAAGAAAGAGTCCTGCTTCTTTTTCATCTCCCACAGTCAGGAACAGCAGGGTTTCCTGTGGACAGAGAGATGGATCTTGCTCCAGAATAACCAGTGCCTTCCTTATCCAGGAAGAGGACAGAGATACGATTGTTGTAGGTCCCTTCCAACTGAAAGAGTCTATGCCATGCTATGCTATGCTAATCCTATGCTAAAACAAATGATGAGGTTCTGCACAGCTCTTTGGGGGACAGGCTCTTCTACAGTGCTCTGAATTTTCACTGTTGTATTTCTTGACTGTTGAGGCTGCTCCTGCAGATTGGGGCTGCAGGGGACACTAACCTCATGTAACTTTTGAAAGGAAAGAGAACTGTAGCTTGTGACTATGGTACCAAGAGAAGCCTGGCCCTGCCTGTCCTACAGCTTGAATGAAATAGTCTTCATCAGTGACTCACCTCTGTCCCAATTTCATTAGCGATGATATTCATAAATTCAGAGTCACCCTCTTTCCTGTACGGATGGGTAAAAAAAAACACTTCAGAAAGAAGCAAAAATCCCCTCTGGAGTCCAAAATATCAATCAGAAAACACGGCCCTGATCAGGCCTGGGATTTTGGCCTCTTGCTGTTAGGATGGAGCTTAGTTTTTTTCTATATATCTAAATCGTCATTGTGCATTCCTGTGGACATACTAGGAATTATTAAAGTGTTCATCTTTAAGAAATAGAGCTCCTCAGTTTTATTTGGAAATATCAAGGGCAGAGAGAAATTGGATAGACATAGTTATTTCTTAGCTACAAAACCAGGAGAATTCAGTGACTGAATTACTAACACATTCCTCTCATTACACAACCTTCCAGCAGGCTGAGGCAGTTCAATATTCTGTTCACCTTTTCTATATTCTTCCTTGAGAAACAAGCTTGAATAGGTGTCAGAGATGCGACTGACACAAAACGTGTAAGATACCATTCTACCCTTTTCCCTGAACTCCCCCATACCTGTGTAACACAAACAGCTGACTTCGAACAGGTTTGCTCTTGAAGTCCCGGGCTACCAGAACAGCAATGTCTCTGAGCAGGTTCAAGTTATTCTGAAAGAAAAGCAAACAAACTGTACTGCAGATGGAGAAGTCAGTGTGAACACTGAGTTGTGTTCCCAGAGATGGGAGCAGTTTTCATAATATCCACAAAAACTGATGTCTACGATTCAGTTCCCAGTTATCATGACTAAAGCTCAGGTCTACAGGACCCAGTCACAATCTGCTTTTCTCAGCCATCCTCATACCTTCTGAAGCAGTTTCACAGAACTCTGCAGTCTCCTCACAGCCTCTACATGCTCACCTGGTCCATTTCTGAAAGAACAAGGAGAATTTGGATCCCTACTCTGAAGGCCAGAAACGGATTTCTTAAAGAAGCAAGAGCAGATAACATCATAAAAAGCACTGCACAGATGCACCCTGAGGCTTATATGGTATTTGTCAGAAAGAATAGTAAAGATGAAATAATCACAGTGGAAAGGGTATTACTTGAGCAGTGAGGTCAGAGCCTTCTCAGTACTGTGACTTTGCTCGATTGACTTCAGCACTCTGTTTCCTGCCAGGAAAGCCAAGTTGGTCTTGTTCTTCTTCCCTTTTTCTGTGCCAAGGAGTTTAATAACCTTAAAAAGAAAATCACTCTGGTCAAAAAAGAACGGTACTTCACTTATACTCACACAGGTGGTCAGTTCCTACTAGACTATGCCTCCTTGTGAATATTGGCTCTCTGCCAGTGAAAATAAGCTGATTAAAATCAGCCATAAGGTAAACATAAAAAAACAAGAAGGATGGTGATACAGTGAATTGATACAATTTGCTAGTCAGGGGCTGCACGCTGCAGTGCATCTCGGTGTCTGTGCTGGGATATAGACTCCAACAAATGAAAAGACAGAAACAAAGGCAGCTCCAAAATTTTATTGCCACCCCCCTGACAAACACTCAAAAAATACCAGCACAGGGAACAAGCAGCTAGCAACCCAGCAATGCACCACGTGCTCTCCCCAGAGGCGTCGGCGGTTCAGAAAACATCCTTGCCAGGGACAAGGGCTGAGTTGTGCCACAGAGAAAGAAAGGAGCCTGACTGACGGGACAAAGACTGCCAACCTGTGTGCGGCCCTGCTGGGGCTCACCCAGCACAGGGCGACCGCCACCCGCTCTGCCATCGGGACAATTTCCAGCAGAGCTTGATCTCAGGGACTCCTGCTGTGCGAGGTCTGACTGTGGAGCGAAGCTCCTGAAGGCAGCTCAGCTGCAGCTCCCACCTGCAAGTCACTCAGGTTGGAGACGTGAGTCCCACAGCACATGTTGGAGTCTATGCCTTCGATGTCAACAACTCGCACTGGCCCTGCGTGGTCATCTGGCAAACCACGGCTTCTCACCTAGCAAAAGGAGGACAACGGCAAACCAGGTGACATCCCTACTGCAGTTACTTTTGTCCCATGGATATCATCAGTTCTCTCCCCATCACTCACTGTTTCAATTTCAGGGTCATCTGCAGCCAGTTCCCTCACCATCACGGGTACCCTCTCCCGGATTTTCTCATTCACGCTCCTCTCCAGGGCCTCTATTTGCTCTGCTGTCATGGAGGGGGTGTCCAGCTCAATGACACTTCGTTGACGGCCCAGCTCCCTGCACCAATGAAGATCACCTGCTGCTGTAGCTAAGACCAGTTGGAAGGTCCCTCTGTGCAGCACTAAGCATCATCCCCCTGCTGGGAATGTGGTGACTGAAACAAAACACACTTTCTTCCTCTCCCTGTTATTTAGAGAGCACCAGATGCAGACCGAATCCTTGGAGGAGGATGACACAGAGCAAATACTTTGCACAGCCTCTCTCCAGCTCAGTCACCTCTCCCAAGCCCTCTGAGCTCGACTGAAACATCCAAGGGCAAACTGCTTTTGATTCATCAATGTTCAGCTCCCAGCCCAGCACGGTGGCACATGCCAACAAAGTAAGACTGGGCCAAAGGAGCCTTTTCCCAGCTCACCATGAAGTTGTCTTGAATCCAAACATCTGATCTGCAATGGCAGTGATGAGATGCTGTCCTGGAAGAGACGTGCAAGCAACAGCTTTGAGTAATACTGGACACAGGAAAGGAGACTTTCAGTCAGACTGTATTTTTTCTTTTTTCTGCTGACATTCCCCACGGCGTTTGGGAATGCCCAAGCATACGCTCAGCACTGCGGGGCTTATGTCACTGCTAAGGAGCAGACAGAGGAGACAGCCACCGCCTCACGGGCCTCGGGACCCGGAGAGCACCACGGCACACGCCGAAGACTTTGAAGCAGGTCGAACCTTCCCCTCCAAACCTGTTCGCAGCGGGTTAACTGA